AATCCAATGACAAGTGTCTATGAGAAAAAGAGAGATTTGACACGCCTACGTGAAGATGCAGTCAGAGATTGGAGCGAAGGAGCCACAAGCCAAGGAACATCTTGGGGGCACCAGCAGCTGGAAGAGGCAAGGAAGGATCTTCACCAAGAGCCTTCATGGGAGCATGACCCAGTTCACACCTTGACTTTGCCCTTCTGGCCTCCAGAACTATGATAGAATGAATGGCTGTTGTTTTAAGCCACCTCCTTTGTGTTCATTTGTCATGGCAGCCCAAGGAAAATGAATACACCCTGTAAAGGGATCATTTTTTTTCTCTCCTTTTTTGCAGTGGAGTCTCACTTCATTGCCCAGGCTGGAGTGCAGTGGTGCAATCTTGACTCACTGTAACCTCCGCCTCCCAGGTTCAAGTGATTCTCCTGCCTCAGCCTCCCAAGTAGCTGGGATTACAGGCACACACCACGATGCCTGGCTAGCTTCTGTATTTTTAGTAGAGACCGGGTTTCACCACATTGGCCAGACTGGTCTAGAACTCCTGACCTCAAGTGATCCACCCTCCTTGGCCTCCCAAAGTGCTGGGATTACAGGTGTGAGCCACCGTGCCTGGCCTGGGGTCATTTTTTGAATGAAGAAAAATGTTGGTTGCAAGATGACCCAGGTGGTGCATGTTAAAATCCACTGGAGCAGACTCTCTCATGTTGTCAGAATGATACAGGCAAGTTCCTTGCAGAAGACACTGAAACAAATACAGCAGAGTCCTGAAACCCCAAACTTCCAGCTGTTTTTAAAAAAAGGCAGCCGGCAAGTCAGCAGGATAATTAGACTGAGGCAGACGTCAACTTGCTCCAAGCATCAACACTGAGTGTCATCAGCCCAGGTTTTTTCATTCAAGTACAAAAACTCCTGGACCCCTCTGTCTTCAACAAACACATACAGTGTGTGTGCTCTTTGGGGGGCCCCATGCTTGGCTCTGAAGGGGGTACTACACAGCCCCCACCCTGCGAGGCTCAGGATCCGGTTGGGGAGGAATAATGTCAGCTCTGGTGGTTAGAGGTAGTGCTGACGTTCTCCAGGATGCACTGACCCAGTGACACAGTTCCAATGGTAGAATCCATCTGTCTGTGGCACTTGGTAAATAGCTGCCTCCCTGAACAGTGCCATCCTGCCACCCTTCCTAAGACCCCAGGGACCTCTGCACCATTCAGCAACTGAAAGGGTAATGGTGCCCTGGTACAGCAGGGAGGGGCCCCCCAGGATTCTGCTTCTGTGCTGCAGCCAAGAACCGTTCTGACTGGTCAAATGGCCTTGTTGTACTGAGTGACACATTGATATGGTTTGGTTGTGTCCCCACCCAGATCTCATCTTGAATTGTAGCTCCCACAATTCTCACGTGTTGTGGAAGAGACCCGGTGGGAGGTAATTGAATCATGGGGGTGGGTCTTTTCCATGCTGTTCTCGTGATAGTGAGGAAGTCTCATGAGATCTGATTTTTTTTTTTTTTAATGGAGTTTCACTCTTGTTGCCCAGGCTGGAGTGTAATGGCACAATCTCGGCTTACCATAACCTCTGCCTCCCGGGTTCAAGCAATTCCACTGCCTCAGCCTCCCGAGTAGGTGGGATTACAGGCATGCACCACCACACCTGGCTAATTTTGTATTTTTAATAGAGACAGGGTTTCTCCATGTTGGTCAGGCTGGTCTTGAACTCCCAACCTCGTGATCCACCTGCCTTGGCTTCCCAAAGTGCTGGGATTACAGGCGTGAGCCACTGTGCCTGGCTGATCTAATGGTTTTAGAAAGAGTATTTTCCCTGCACAAATTATCTTCTCTTGTCTGCCGCCACCCACGTGAGACGTGTCTTTCACCTTCTGCTGTGGCAGAATGATGAGGCCTCCCCAGCCATGTGGAATTGCAAGTCCATTAAACCTCTTTCTTTTGTAAATTGCCCAGTCCCAGGTATGTCTTTATCAGCAGCATGAGAACTGACTAATACGCACATATTTTGAGGATCGTCTCTGATTGGACCTCAGAGCTAAGAGTGTGAGGAGCTGGCTTTGAACCTGTGTCTTTCAGCTATATAACCTTAACTGAAATTGCAATCCTTAGGCACAGAAAGGTGAGTGAGGGTTGACCCGTCTACCCACATCACTCCTTCCTGCCTTAAACATAGCCTCAAAAACATCACTGGTCCCTGCAGACGGCCCGAAAAGGGTCCAGGGAGAAATCCAGGGGATCCAGACCAGCACACATAATGGTCAGGACCACTTCTGCAAATTGCCAAATCTCAAAGAAAGGCCAACAGCCTGAGAACAACAGTCTGAGAACCCCAGAGTATGCATGCCCTGCTGAAAGTCAAGGGTGTGGGGGCTGGAGGCAAGGAAGCAGGGATGGCCAGATCCTGAGGTTCACGTAAGGCCAGTTCCAGACGAGCCAGAGGTGACCCGTCAACTTTCAGCAGGGGCCAGGCGGGTAAGTACATTAATGAAGTGGCCAGCCCAAGCCTAACACTGGGACAGCCTTAGCAAACTTCCCAAAGCCATGTCTGTAATTCTCACTGGGATGAAGGGCATTTTTGTAGGGAGGGCTTCGGGCCCTTGGGCATGTCAGGAAATTGGCTGCAGGTGCTGTAGAAGTGAGTTTCTATCGTCCTGCTTTAGCTTTCTCTGCAAGGCCAAGGGGCCAAACATGAAAGCTTTCGGAGTCATTCCATGGGTTTTCTGAGAATCAAAGCTACAGAAGTGAGGTCCAGAGAGCAAGCCCTTTCCACAGGGGGTAAGAGGAGGCACCCCTGGGTCATTGACATTGTTTTTATTACACAGGGTGGTGAAGGATGGTGGGTCCTTGAAAGAATAAGGTTTCCTAATCATTCTTGAAGCTGAAGATAGAGTGCCCTGTGTTGCATCATTTAACAATCGCATTGATTCATTCTGAATATTTTTGCAAAGCTATTATGTGCAGGTTATTAAGGGCATTTGATGGGGAACAGATCAGAAGTGGATTCTCTCCAGCCTGGCCAACGTGGTGGAACCCCATCTCTAGTAAAAATACAAAAACTAGCTGGGCGTCGTGGTGTGCGCCTGTAATTCCCGCTACTCAGCAGGCTGAGGCACGAGAATCACTTGAACCCGGGAGGTGGAGGTTGCAGTGAGCCTAGATCATGCCACTGCATTCTAGCCCGAGCGACAGAGAGAGACTCTGTCTTAAAAAAAAGAAAAAAGAAAGAAAAGAAAAAGAAGTAGTCTCTGCTCTTGCAGCACTTACAGTCAACCGAGCACCTACTATGTGCCAGTCCCCTTGCAGAAATGATGTTAGTTATTGAGGGCCTGTGCTATGCCAAGGATGGTCAAGTTTAAGGATATCGGTGCAAATAAAAATGGCGGCAACGTGAATTGATGTCTTTCTATGTGTCATGCACATGCTAGGGGCTTTGCGTGTGTCATTGTATTAAGTTCCCAGTAACCTCTGAGAACTAAACATAGTCAGTGCTCCCATCATCCGGCTGAGGAAACCGAGGCACAGAGAGGTTGTGACTCCTCCCACTAGTAAGTGGCAGAGATGGGGCTTGAACTTGCCCTGATTCTTGAGCAGACACTGTTAATTATGCTGCCTGCTTATTAATTCTCAAAACATCCCCATAAGGAGCCTTGCTTAGCCCCATTTGGCAGATTAGAAACTGAGGCTCTGGAAGGTTTCTCTTAGGACTGCAACCCGGGGCAGGGACCAGGGTGAAGCTGCTATAAAGTTAAAGGGGCACCAAAAACCCAGTGATCAAGATACGCAGTATTTAATGCAACATTTGAAAAGTCAAAAGTTAATGCAAAATATCCGAAATGAACAAGACATGAACATTTTAAAGAAAGACAGGATCTCACCTTGTATACAAAAGGCTTCACCTGGCCTGCCTCATTCTAATCTCAGCCCTGTCTCATTTTTTCATAGTTTGTTCATCATTGATTTTGTTGGCAGTAATTTTCAGTTCTTAACAATAATACTGTATTAAAATATTATTTATCTTTTTTTTTTTTTTTTTTGGTAGAGATGAGGTCTCACTATGTTTCCCAGGCTGTCTCAAACTCCTGCCTCGGCGTCCCAAAGTGCTGGGATTACAGGCGTGAGCTGTCGCTTCCTGCCATTATTTATCTTTTTTTTTTTTTGAGATGGAGTTTCGCTGTTGTTACCCAGACTGGAGTGCAACGGCATGATCTCGGCTCACCACAACCTCCGCCTCCTGGGTTCAAGCAATTCTTCTGCCTCAGCCTCCCAAGTAGCTGGGACTACAGGCATGTGCTACCATGCCCAGCTAAGTTTTGTATTTTTAGTAGAGACGGGGTTTCACCTTGTTGACCAGGATGGTCTTGATCTCTTAACCTCGTGATCCACCCGCCTCAGCCATTATTTATCTTGATTATGGAGATTTTTCATCTGTCCTTACATTTGCACTTTGGCAAGTATCTCTCTGATCTTACTCTAGTCTGGATTCTGCAGGATTACTTCTCACAGCTATTTCATTTAACATTATTATTATGTTTTTTGGAGACAGAGTCTTGGCTCTGGCACTCAATCATAGCTCACAGCAGCCTCTAACTCCTAGGCTCAAGTAATCCTGCCTCAGCCTCACGAGTAGCTCTGACTACAAGTGCGCCCCACCCCATCTGGTTGATTTTTTGGTAGAGATAGAGTCTTGAACTCCTGATCTCAAGCGATCCTCCCACCTCAGCCTCCCAAACTGTTCAGACTACAGAGATGAGTCAGGAATCAGGCCCCATAGCTACCTTTTCACCAGGTACTCACCCTGTGCCACTCTTCCAGGGCTTCCTTGCGTCTTATGCTGCCAACAGCCCTAGGAGGCAAGGTTATCTTCCCTAAAGGTCCTGTTTTACAGAGGAGGACACGGCTGCTTAGAGAAGTGGAGCGTTTTACTTACAACCACACAGCAGAAGGGCGGACACTCTAACCCAGCCAAGCTTCCTGGAAGGAGGGAGGGAGCTTCCCCGCTCTGGGAACAGCCCATGCGCGGATGCGGGACTGATGATCGCCCAGGCGGCTCTGGAATTCCCTCAGGGGGTGGAGAGGAGGGACCTGGGGACCTCTGAGTTTCCAACGACCCTCCATTCCAGTTTCCTACGATTCCATTGCTTCCTAAGAAACTGCCTGGTGACTTGGAGCCTGCCCCAGGCCTTGGGCCCCAGTCCGGACCCGGGGAGCCCCGGGGCAGGAGTCGGCGGGGACCCAGCGCGTCCTGGGGCAGCGGGGACCGGGAAGATGTCCCCGCCAGCCTGCGGAGCCCCGCTTCTCAGCGCTCCTGAGTAGCAGTTCTGGGAGGGAGAGGCGTCGCGTTGCAAGAAAGCTGTTGGTAATAAGCGGAATTGGGTTTTAATGGGGTTCGCATAGATAGAACAGAAATCAAATTAGGGCCTAATTGGCATGCAGCAGGCAGCCAGAGCCGCGGCGGCGCGGCGGGCCCGCTGGGGCCGAGCAGCGCAGCCGCCCCCGGGACTCCGCTTCCCGCCTGCGGGAGGCCTGGGCGCGCGGGGACCCCTCCAGCGGCGACTCCCCGCCCGTGCCCGGCCCCGCCCCTGCGTTTCTCCCTGGAGAACCCCGGCACAGTCTGGGAACCAGCATCCCACTACAGCCCCGTCCCGGGCAGCCGGGGAGGGGGCCTTTGACCTTGACCCCGCTCCTTGAAAACGCTGGAGCCGCGGAGAGCAATCAGAGCTTGGCGTTGGCTTGGTTTGTTTTGTTTTGATTTTCCCTATTGATGGCAAAGAAAAAAAAGCGTGGGGAGGTGGCCTGGGGCAAGAGGGGGACAGGAGAGGGGAAAGAGTATTGGCAAAAGGAAGTGAACACCCAGTGCGTAATAATGGGATTGATAACACCAATATTGGGTGCCGACTCTGGGCCAGGTCCTGAGCTGGCAGGTTGCAGGGATTTACAGCATGACTCCTGTGAAGTTTGGTACTCCTCTTTCGATCTCACACCTGACGAACTTCAAGGACAGAGACGTTTAGTTGTTTCTCAAAGGTCACTCAGCAAGCACACCGTGGTGCTTACGTTGCAACCCAAGGCTGGAGGACTCAGTAATACTTGTAACTGTTTATGCCACTGACACGTGAACGTCTTTTTGTAAATTATTTTTTGTTATTTATTTATTTATTGAGATGGAGTCTTGCTCTGTCGCCCAGGCTAGAGTGCAGTGGCCCGATCTCAGCTCACTGCGACCTCCACCTCCTGGGTTCAATTGATTCTTCGGCCTCAGCCTCCCGAGTAGCTGGGATTACAGGCGCCCACCACTGCACCTAGCTAATTTTTATATTTTTAGTAGAGACGGGGTTTTCACCATCTTGGCCAGGCTGGTCTCGAACTCCTGACCCCGTGATCCATCCGCCTCAGCCTCTCAAAGTGCTAGGATTACAGGCATGAGCCACCACACCCAGCCTATTTTCTTTATTATTATTTTTTGAGACGGTGTCTCACTCTGTTGCCCAGGTTGGAGTGCAGTAGCATGATCTTGGCTTACAGCAACCTCCGCCTCCCGCGTTCAAGCGATTCTCCTGTTTCAGCTTCCCGAGTAGCTGGGACTACAGGCACATGCCACCACGTCCAGCTAGTTTTGTATTTTTAGCAGAGATGGGGGGTTTCACCATGTTAGCCAAGCTAGTCTTGAACTCGTGACCTCAAAAGATCTGCCAACTTCAGCTTCCTAAAGCATTGGGGTTATAGGAATGAGCCTCCATGCCTGGTCCTATTTTTAATTTATTTTTATTAGAGACGAGGTTTCGCTATGTTGCCCAGGCTGGTCTCGAGCTTCTGGTCTCAAGCCATCCTCTCGCCTCTGCCTCCCAAAGTGCTAGGGTTACAGGCATGAGCCACCACGCCCGGCGTCTGTTTTTTTGTATTTTTGTTTTTCTTCTTCTTATCTACTTTTAAGAGCACTTACAAGATTCTCATAGACTGATGGTGCCTTGGTTTTATTGTTAACAATTCAAAAAGTTTTGTGATGGCATTTTTCCCCAATGTTTTACAATTCAGATTTTTGCGATATCAGAAGAATTTTATTTTATATCTGCCCCCTTTTCCTGTAGTGTCCTTGGAAGTCTTATAACTCCACAGACCACGTACTTCCTGTGCCAAAGAGCATTCCTAGTCTTTGGGAGAATAGAAACTGAGAGAAGCAAAGAGAGATCTCCACCTTTCCACAGTGAGCAGAGCAGCAGTAGTGATGCCGGGCAGGCGAGCCCCAAAGTGCAGCTTAGCCCCCTGAGTTCTTGGCTTTGCCCAGGAAAGAATTCAAGGGCAAGCCAGAGGGAGAAGAAAAACAGCTTTATTGATGAGGCTGTGTTACAGCGCCGTGACCGCTCCTACAGAGCAGGGGTACCCCACAGACAGAGAGCAGCAACTCAGGGCCATTTTGCAGTCGTATTTATACATACTTTTAATCGCATGCAGATTAAGGGGTGGTTCATGCAGAAACTTCTTGAGAAGGGGTAGTAATCATTGGGGCGTTGCCATGAAAAGGGGCGGTAACTCGCAGGTGTTGCCATAGCAATGATAAATTGACGTGGCACACTGGCGGGCGCGTCTGATAGAAAGCTGCTTTTGCCTGGCCCTGCTTTAGCTAGTCCTCAATCTGGTCCCGTCTCTGAGCCCCACCTCTGGAGTCGAGTTCCACCTCCTACCTCAGTAGGAGTGAATAACTTGGAAGGATACTGTAGCAACTTTCGAGCATCCCTATATAATATGTCCACTCATCAAACAATTCTTCAAGGGATGCATTTTAATCCTCCCCTTTTTTAAATTTTTTGAAACAGAGTTGTGCTCTGTTGCCCAGGCTGGAGTGCAGTGGTGCCGTCTCAGTTCACTGCAACCTCTGCCTCCTGGGTTCAAGCGATTCACCTGCCTCAGCCTCCCAAGTAGCTGGGACTACAGGCTGCACCTCCACGCCCAGCTAATTTTTTGTATTTTTAGTAGAGATGAGGTTTCACCATGTTGGCTGGGCTGGTCTCGAACTCTTGGCCTCAAGTGATCCACCCACCTTGGCCTCAAAGTGCTGGGATTATAGGCCTAAGCCACCAAGCCCAGCCTTTAATCCCCATTTTTAAGGCTCGGAGAGGCACAGTGACTTACCCAAGGTCAGACAGTGACTCCATGATAGAACTGGTACCCAAACTCAGGTATGTCTGACCCCATATCCCACGTTATTTTCTTGGCACTTTGCACATGGCACTAAACAGTGATCCCATCATCTCTTTCAGGAAGCACCAAGAATTAGCGTGATCTCTCAGCAATTGGGAGTCAGGACGTGTTGCTTCCATCCAGGCTACAAACCAATGTTTGTCATCTTTGGGATACACCAGTGTGAAGGAAACCTGGAATACCAGTACTGACCATTTCAAGCCTGATCTGTCTCCACATGGGATCAGCTATTTCTTGGTGGCAGCTGGCTGAGAACATTCTAGGGCAGCATTTCCAGTGCATATTTCAGGAGCGTGTTCAGAATTGTTTATGAGATCATAGGCTCTATGAGCAAATGAACTGGGGAAGACAGGGATCAATTGACCAAGTTAATTAAAGCTGCTTCCTTACAGCAGGAATTTTCAGAGCATTTAGTGTGTTCACAGGGATGTGAATCTCCAGGAGGATCAGTAGTAAAAAGCATTTTCCAAATATAATTATTCATGGAACCCTCTCGTAGAACACTGTGCAGGCAGGCATGTGGTTCCATGGAACACACTTTGGGAAACATGACCAAGTGTGTTCTGAACTCAGCCCTTCAGAGTTCCGGATGGGACGGGAGGTGGAACCTGTCCTCTGCATCAATCCTATTGTCTTCTTCCCTTAGGTGGGACAAGTCAAGGTCCTGTTCGTGGAGAAAAGCTTTCATGGTTGAATGAGGGAGTTGCAATTGTGTTTCTCCAGAGCATTGCTAGTTGCATTTTTCAATGAAAAGTTTTTATATTGCCGGGCATGGTGGCTCATGCCTGTAATCCCAGCACTTTGGGAGGCCAAGGTGGGTGGATCATGAGGTCAGGAGTTCAAGACAAGCCTGGCCAAGATGGTGAAACCATGTCTCTAGTAAAAATACAAAAATTATCTGGATGTGATAGTGGGTGCCTGTCATCCCAGCTACTCGGGAAGCTGACGCAGGGAATTGCTTGAACCTGAGAGGCGGAGGTTGCAGTGAGCCGAGATCATGCGACTGCACTCCAGCCTGGAAGACAGAGCGAGACTCTGCCTCAAAAAAAAAAAAAAAAAATTCACATTGTGTCCTTATGGCTGTCCAGAGCCTCCTGGGTATCTGAAGACTTACAGGCTAGTGAAATTATACTCAGAGATGCATGCAGCATGTTTAGCACTCAGCCAATGGTGGAGTTAGTGTTGGGGTTAGTGTTGTTGGTGATGTCATTAGACCCGGTTCCTGCCCTTGTGGAGCCCATCGTCTGGTCAAAAGAATAAACCACAGACCCTGCCACTAAATTTAAAAAAAAAAAAAAAAACAGCTGGGCAAGGTTAAAATGGCCAGGTATGATTAAAATGGCCGGGCGTGGTGGTGCATGCCTATAGTCCCAGCTAATCAGCAGGCCGAGGCGGGAGGATCACTTGAGCCCAGGAGTTCAAGGCTGCAATGAGCTAGGATCCCTCCTCTGCATTCCAGCCTGGGCAACAGAGCAAGCCCTCATCTCTTAAAATAATAAAAGAATAAAATAAAATACACACACCCAACATGATAAGTAACAGCGCAGCTTGATACATCTGCAACAAAGCCCAACTGCAAATATTTTGGAAGCATAGTTATTCTATTCCCCCAAGCACATTTAAAAATCTTTATTAGATTTTTAATTATAAAATTAATACAACACCCCTTGTTAAAAATAAGAAAAAAGCACTTTAGAAAGTAGAAAATAGAAAGCAAAAAGTTTCTCTCTTCACGCTTCGACTCCACCCTCCCCAGAGGTAATCAGCGTTAATGCGGCATGGACCCTGCCAGACATTTTATGCACAAACAAACATGTAAATATGGGATTTTCTTTTTACCAAAAAGTGGGTCATAAGATACACACTGCTTGTAACCTACTTTTTCACTTAACTATATGCTGTGGACCTTTTCTTTCTAATATGCCCAGATCAATCTCCCTTCCTACTCCCCACTAACTCTGTAAACCACAAACTCATCCCTGGGGCATAGGATAACTGGCCCGTTTTGTGAACCTTTAAGGAGGAAAAAGCTGTGAGAGCTGGCTCATCTATTAAACATCTACTGTATGACAAATGCTTGTTCTTGGGGATGGGGACAGATGGAAAAGTGTTCAGATGGAGGGAACAGCATATGCAAAAGCATACAGATGGGGTCGGGCATGGTGGCTCATGCCTGTAATCCCAGCACTTTGGGAGGTCGAGGCAGGCAGATCACTTGAGGTCAGGCGTTCGAGACCAGCCTGGTCAACATGGTGACACCCCATCTCTACTAAAAACATAAAAATTAACCGGGCATGGTGGCGCATACCTGTAACCCCAGCTACTCAGGAGGCTGAGGCAGGAGAATCGCTTGAGTCTAGGAGGCAGACAGAGGCTGCAGCGAGCTGAGATCCCGCCACTGCACTGCAGCCTGGGCACCAGAGTGAGACTCCATCTCAAAAAAAAAAAGAGAAGTGTGCAGGTGGGAAATAGCATAGGAAATGTACTTCTTTCTTTTCAATGCCTGAAGGCCACTGCGTTCCATGCATCTACCACAATTTATTTGCCCAGTCTCTTTCCTGTTGAAATGCTTTTTATGAGAGACTGGAATGTTGCTAGCCTGGTGTGGTCAAAGGCTAAGCACCTGGAGGGCAGTGGGTCAGGTCTCTTTAGGTCTCCAGCATCCCACGCCCTGTGTAGACCATGACTATTACATTTATCAGCCAATTTCATGGTTGCTTCCAAAGGCGCTTTGACCTGGAATCACCTGAGGTGACACTCTTTAACTTAGAAGCACACAGTCAAATGGCTAAACTTGGCGACACAAATGAGTGACTTGAGCATGTCACCAGCCACTTGTCACATTCACTCACATACTCAAGGGGTCCGTTGTACTGCAGTTAGCTGGTTAGCTGGCATTTGTCAGGCTCTCATGAATTGCTAAAATATAGCAATGATGGCAGTAGATGAGATCTAATTGCAAGGGCAAATATTTGTTCCTGTGGACAAGGAAATAGGGAAGAGAGGCCCCTTTCAGAGTTTCCCAGGAGGCGCAGTGGCTCACACCTGTAATCCCAGCATTTTGGGTTGCCGAGGCAGGTGGATCATTTAAGGTCAGGAGCTCAACACGACAAAACCCTATCTCTACCAAAACTATAAAAATTAGCCAGGCGTCGTAGCGCATGCCGGTAATCCCAGAGACTGGGGAGGCTGAGCCAGAACAATCGCTTGAACTGCAGAGGTTGCAGTGAGTCAAGATCATGCCACCGTACTCCAGCCTGGGGGACACAGTGAGTGACTCCATCTCAAAAAATAAAAAGTTTCCCAGGGGGGCAGTGAGGAATTAGAAAGTCATCATAATCCATCATAATTAGATCTTCAAAATGAAACTTGATTGGCGGAAATCAGACACTCATCCTGTCTTGACGCTCTAATCTCACGGACTTGACAAGACAGGTCTTCCTGAAGTTCCAGCACTTCAGTTCCTCACAAGGAGGCCCAGAGATGCTATTAAAAAGCCCAAATAGCTAAGATTCTCCAGAATCAGCACATCCATACAGAAGACCTTAAATCAGCCGACTCTGCGGGCTTTCGGCTTTGGTGCTGGTGTGCAGCGCTTTTCAATTGTCTGCATTTAGTTCCTTGAGTGCATCTCGTATGCTGAGTGAGATCTTTATCCTCTGTCGCAGGGGTGATGCGTGCTGGGCCTGCTACCATGGAGTCAGTCCTGGCCACATAAAGACATCAGCAGCTCGACAAGGCTCTTTCAGCCCCTGCCCTGTGCTGCTGTGTGGGCTGAGGATGCCAGAGCCACTGGGTCATTCACCTGTCCTTGGATGGGGCTGCCTCTTTTCCCATTTTAGCTATGTCCTTTCTGTCATCACAATTCAGCAAGTGGCTGTTGATACGTAGTGGACAGATCCACTGGTCTGGGGGCTGGTCTCAGCTCTGCCACTTGTTGCCAGGTGCCCTTGGGCACATCGTTAGAGCTCTCAGAGCCTCCAGTAGAAATGGAAATGAGAAAACCTCTCAAGATCCTTGAGAGGGTGAAATGATCTAGAGAAAGCAGAGACCTAGGCAAGTCCATGACTGGTTCACAATAGCATGTCCTGTCTCCAGCAAAATCCACGCCATCAAGACATCTGACACAGGCCAGACGTGGGGACTCACACCTGTAATCACAGCAATTTGGGAGGGTGAGGTGAGAGGATGGTCTAAAGCAAGGAGCTCAAGACCAGCCTGGGCAATATAGCAAGACCCCATCTCTAAAAAAAAAAAAATACAAAAAATTAAATTAGCTGGGTATGGTGGCTTGAGCCCGTAACCCCAGCACTTTGGGAGGCTGAGGTAGGAGGACGATTTGAAGCAAGAAGTTCAAGACCAGCCTGGACAAGATAGCAAGACCCCATCTCTACAAAAAACTACAAAAAATAAAATTAGCTGGGCATGGTGATGCACACCTATAGTCCTGGCTACTTGGGAGGCCAAGACAGGAGGATTACTTGATCCCAGGAGTTTGAGGATGCAGTGAGCTATGATCATGCTATTGCACTCCAGCCTGGATGAAAAAGTGAGACCCCATCTTGAAAAAAATTAGACTCTGACATAATAATAGCAGTATTCATAAAAAACACTTATGGACACAATTTGAATGTATGGAAAACAACTTGAACTATATACTTAAAATGTACATTTTATGTCATCTGTTTTATACCTTTAATTTTTTAAGAGACAGTCTCGCTCTATCGCCCCAGGCTGGACTCAAAGTCTTGAGCTCAAGCTATCCTTCTGCCTCAGCCTCCTGAGTAGCTGGGACAATAGCTGTGTGCCACCTTGCCTGGCATACACCATAATTTTTTAAAAGAACAATCATTTACTGAACAGTTATTACTTTGTTTTTTTGAGACATGGTCTCATTCTGTCACCTAGGCTGGAGTGCAGTGGTGCAATCTCAGCTCACTGCAACCTCTGCTTCCTGGGTTCAAGCAATCCTCCTGCCTCAGTCTCCTAAATGGCTGGGAGGACAGGCACCCAATACCAAGCCTGGCTAATGTTTGCATTTTTAGTAGAGATAGGGTTTCACCATGTTGGCCAGGCTGGTCTCAAACTTCTGACCTCAAGTGATCCACCCACCTTGGCCTCCCAAAGTGCTGGGATTACAGGCATCAGCCACCATGCCTGGCCCAATTATTACTTTCTTTTTTTTTCCCCCTCTGAGATGGAGTCTTGCTCTGTCACCCAGGCTGGAGTGCAGTGGCATGATCTCAGCTCACTGCACCCTCTGCTTTCCAGGTTCAAGCAATTATCTGCCCCAGCCTCCTGAGTAGCTGGGGACACGCACTACCAAGCCCAGCTAATTTTTTTGTATTTTTAGTAGAGATGGGGGTCTCACCATGTTGTCCAGGCTGGTCTTGA